GAAGAAACACTGGCAGTTTACAATTTCTGAGCTGGGGGTTCAGTTTATGGCTGAAATCAGATTTTTTTACTCCTTCTCTTCCTCTCAGAAGATTGGACAAGAAAAAAAAGTAAACCCAGCTCACACGAGACAAAAGACTAACAAAATAAAACAAATAACAAAAACAACACAAAGCATAAGAAGAACTCAGAACCGAGAGGCTGACACCATGCATGTATTACTTCTAGCTTGGATTATTGTAATTCATTAATATCAGACTGCTTAAAATGCTCCCTGAAAAGTCTTCAGTTGAAAAGTTGATCCAGAATCCTGCAGCAAGAGTAACAACTAGGACTAGAACAGGAGCCCATATTTCCCCATAACTCCTGAGTCCCGTTCATTGTCTCCCTGTTGAGTTCAGAACTGAATTCAACTTCCTTCTCCTTACATACAAATCTTGAATAATAAAAACATGTCAAAGCCTAAAGATCTAACTGGACTCTATTATCTTAACAGAGCATTTAGCTCCTAGACTGGGACCTGTGGGTAGCATCGGTGTTATGCAGGGGCCTATGGGGTCCAGGCCCACCCAGTAAATCTACGGATATATTTCAACTAGAAGTTTCACTAATTTATAAAACTTAGTGATGGTAAACTTAAACACCCATATTGATGATAAGTTATTATAGCGCAAGCTCAATTTCACGACTTATTTCATTGCTGCCAACCCTATTTAGAAAAAAATATAATTGGAGGAGGAGCCTTCACCTGGTGGAACTAACAGTTTGGGTTTAAGATACAGGGACCTCTCTTCTTTTAAGGTTTGACTTGAAACACTTGGGGCTGAGCATAGCCCTGAAAGCATTAACAGCACCTCTTCTAAAGTTATTCACGATATTTTTGAGCAAAATTAAAATAAAATATCAAACACTGTAAGTATTAGGCTGTCTCTTGCAGAATTCTACTGAAATAATACAATCAGTGCGATTTAAATTCTTCAGCATTGTTTGCCAACTTTACCAGAGCTTCTGCTTCTATGGTGTCATAATGGGACCTTTTAAATGTGGCCATCTCTGTCTTGTCTTTTGAATGTTTATCTTTTCTTCACCTTTCCTGCTCTTTTGGTATCAATCTGCTGCAATTTTAATCTTCACTGCTCTCTCATCCCCTTCTCTCTCCTTTCCTGGGTATAAAAACAATGCAGTAGTCATGTGCCAATTAATTATATGTGATGTGATGATGAGATATTTAACGACATCTGCCTTCACAGCCACATCGCTGTTGTAGAAAAATAATTTGAGCATTGAAACCCAACTGATTTTCTGAGATTTATTGAAAGAAAGTTAAAACCTTTGCAATGGGATCAATACAGCATGAACAGTGTTCGTACCAGCATTGACAAAAAGGCAAAATTGTAACAGCTTCTGTCGTGTCGATGCAATCTTTGTCTATTCGCTATTCGACAGTGAGTGAAGTGCTCACTGTCATGTCGGCACCAGCTTGGTAACGAAGTGTGTCATGGCCTTGAGCAAAGCTTAGAGTCTTCATACAAAAGACAATTTGTACAAAATATACATTAGGTAAAATAAATTTTCCATGACAATCACCTCTGTTTTTGTAAATTTATATTTTCCTTTTCACTTTTCAGTATACTGTTTTGGAGTAATTATTCTTCTTCCACTGTTATTGTGACTACATTTTAATATTTAATATTTAGTGTGTGAATGGGTGGATGACTGAATGTAGTGTAAAGCGCTTTGGGGTCCTTAGGGACTAAGTAAAGTGCTATACAAATACAGGCCATTTACCATTTCATTTATTTCACACAAAGAATTCTATGTATTGTCTTTAAATGTCCACTGGAGTTCATTAATCCACAGTCAGTGTTGGGTTTAAGGCCTTCCAAAGTAATGTGTTACTACATTTTTCAGTTATACAGGGACTAAACCCAGTAATTACATTAAAGGTACAATTATATCATTACCTGCGTTTCAAAGGCTCTTTAGTTACAAGCACACATGGTGGATAGGAAGGGGAAAAAAGAACTCAAACTGACTCTTGTTTTTTTCTTTCTGCCTGGTTGGGCTACAATCAGCTAATGTCAGTTCACGTGCCAAGAAGAGGAAAATAGCAGAACAGTTTTTGATTGGATATTGTAGTTTTATTCCAAAGGTTGTATTGTGGAATGCAAAGTGTGTATAGGACAATAGGAACTGCATAATACTGCTAACACAACTCGAACTCTTTGGAAGCATGTGTACAGACAGCAAGCTCATGCAAAGGTAGTCAAGAACCCAAAATGATGTTAAAGCTGAGTGAATTAGACCCCATTGCAGCAGCCAGACCATGAACTTGACTGCATAATACTGCTAACACAACTCGAACTCTTTGGAAGCATGTGTACAGACAGCAAGCTCATGCAAAGGTAGTCAAGAACCCAAAATGATGTTAAAGCTGAGTGAATTAGACCCCATTGCAGCAGCCAGACCATGAACTTGACTTGCAATGATGAGCAGTCAGGCTTGCAGCATTTTGGCCTCAGGGCACCAGTCATTTAAAAGCTAAAGCTTCTCTTTTGTTGCTGATTACTTCTTTAACAGACAGAAAATTAGATATATTGTTGTTGTGTATTTAAAGACAAAAATCAGGGTGTGTGTGTGGGTGAAAGAGAGAGAGAGATAGGGGAAAGTGTGTGTATAGGGGGAGGAGGGAGAGGGTGAGACATGGCTCGTGTTATTTTGAGGAAATTAAGAGAAATTACATTTCAGTAGCAAGATGTGCTTTTTTTAAATTTTTCTTCTGAATTTTCCTGGTAATGAACTTTTTTTGTTCATGATCAGCTTCCGTTAGAAATAAATTCAAATCCTCAATGTAATCTGCATTACGTTTGTGGTGAATTTCACTTGATATCCGTTGAATGTTCCTGGAAAATATTATAAACGATTATTTCAATTTATTTCAATTCTAATTGTACTGAACAAAGTGAATTAACCTCCTGAGACCCGAACTCTTCCAGGGCATGCATTTTTAGTTTCTCTGTGATATTTGGGCATAGAATGACTTTTTTTTTAACCTAATTTTGTTTTCTAAGAAAAATGAGAGCCACATATGAGGATATTCGTTTAAAATTTCAATAGAACAGTGGCAGTATAATGTCCTCGTAAGTGGATATCAGGTCCTTGTAGAGCAAAATTGAGTAATTTGGTCTAAATAACCCAAAATGTGATGTCCACATATGTGGACGCCAGGTCCAGGAGGTTAAATAAGACTAGACTAAAAAAAATCATCCTTGATAGTTGACATGAAATTCTCACATTCCTATACACTGTGTGCTGAGTTTCATCTCAAGCTTCTGCACTTTTCGTTGAGGTAAAACGGACAATTCCGCTCAAACTGAACAAAGTTAATGAAGTATAATAACACCCATATCAAAAATAAAAAATTTATTACGAATCATCCTTGATAGTTAACATGAGATTCTGCCCAGATTCCTCTTCTGACTCTGCTCTACATGTGTGCAGTTTAATCTCAAACCACTGCAAAATCTCCCAGAAAATGCAGACACCAGATTTCAGAAATTCATAAAAGATCATCCCTGATGATTCCTCATTTTATCCAAAATGCCATCCAAAAACTTCTCGGTCAGCAGTGGTTTTCCCCTTGGAACCTGTCCTGACCTTAATGTAGACCATACCTTCATACAATTCAGATGTTGTTCTGGGTTCTTTTGTGATCTGAATTAGTTGTTGATATGTTCTTGGAGTAATCTTGGTAGGCTGCCACTCCCGAGAAAGTTAACTACTGTTCCCGGTTTTCTCCATTGTGTATAAGCTATAACATGCCATCAGTCAGATTTGGATTTCTGTTTTGATTTTAAAACCATCAGTTGAAAACAAGATCTAAAAAGTGCAGGCCTTACAGTTAGGGTTACTAACTGTAAGGCCTGCACTTTTTTCAGTTAGGGTTAGTGGTCGTGATTATACCACAAAATTGGGGGAAAAAATTCATAGGAGAGGTTCTACTGATCTTTTTGATGAGCAGAGCCTGTTTCAGTTTAAATGTTGTTTTCAATAAATTGCATGCTCAAAAAATGTTTTGTCTCACTCCCATTTCTTCCTCTTCCATGTCGAAGCTCTACTTGGAAGCTTGTTAAGATCCAACCATGCAAAATATGGGTTTTTTTTGGCCATTTTTTAAGTGGTCTTAAACTTTTGATCATAATTGTATTTACTGGTCTAACTGCTAACTGTTAGAGCAAAGTGGATATCTAATGAGGTGTTGTGGGTCCAGGTAAGATCGGCAGGGATAACCGTGCCCAGAAACCTGGAGGTGTAGACAGATTCCATATATAATAAGAGGGGAGTGGGAGTGTCTCCTGAAGTCCATTATGAGTTCTTTTCTTTTATGGATGCTCAGCGTCAGGTTATTTTCTGAGCACCAGTGGGACAAGTTCTCTACCTCCGCCCTGTACTGAGGCGGCTGTTGTTGTGATTTGGCACTATATAAATAAAATTGAATTGAACTGAATTGAATTGAATAGATGAGCCCAGCTGTATGCCATACTATATGTACTATATTACACTATTTTATAATGACATGATTTCTTGGAATAGCTAGGGCTTATCCTCAAATTATCCACAGGTACCACAACACATGGGGTTGACTGTTCTATTGTTTTAAAGCCAGTAGCTCCCCTCTAATTCTTTTGAGCTTTTATGCTCACTTAATATGTATGCTTCTCTATTTTTTCTTTTTCTTATTACTCATGTTGTTGACATACATCTTTTTACACAATCACATTACAGGGGACCTGCATCCCTTTTGGGGCCAAACTAAAATTCCTCTTAATGCAAATCATTACATTTACACATTACATTTTGAAATAAGACTTGATTAAAATCAGGGGTAGACAAATAGTAGTAAGTCTCTATGAAATATAATGTAAGTCCTTTTAATGTCCTCATGATGAAACACAACTCTGTCTGTTTGTGTGTGTATCTGCATTTCACGTATTTCTGTAGGTACGTGCCAGTGCCATAGCCCAGGATGCAGACCAGAACTACGACTATGCCAGTAACAGTGCTGTTCTGCATCTAGAGCCAGGAGATGAGGTCTACATTAAACTAGATGGAGGAAAAGCTCACGGAGGCAACAACAACAAGTACAGCACATTCTCTGGATTCATTATCTACGCTGATTAAACTATAATTACTACATTTTGGCTTTCAATTATTGGCCTTCTGGCTCAGCGCTTCCACAAATCATCTTCTTCAAATGTAATTTTTTTAAAACTTTTGTGGAGAAACCAAGAGAAAGCTGCATAATGTATTTCCTATGTTTTGCTATTCTCATGATACTTGTTGAAAGTATCTCTCGACAGGAAAATTAATTGTTTAACTTTTTTTGTAAACATTTCCTGTCTGTATACTATCATGTCATAATTAACACTGACATGCTTGTTCCAATAGTAGAACTTGTGGGGTAATGGTGGTTAGCTCGGGGGTGGAGGGCGTTTCAGGGGTTGGAGGTTTGAAGACAATTCTGTCATGAATCTGACATCATCACAGGCAGCATATCAACAAATCCAGCAAACATTTAAATCAACAAAGTAAATGTGGAAAAGAGGAAATCAAATATAAACATGACATTAAGAAAGTTGTTTGTGAAAACAACAACTAAGGCCAGTTAAGTCTGCTGATGCAAAAATTTTTGATTTGATTGTTAGTGTTTTTGGTTTTACAAGTTGGAACCATTTAATTGTTTATATCTAAAAAAATTAAAGCAATTTAATGGAAAAATGAAATGGTATATACAGCACAATCAGAACAAATATGAATGCAAATGTTTTTGCTCCATATACAGAAGAATAGTAGTTTGTGTTTCACTCCTAGTCACCTTAAAACTCATGTTTGTCATGTTATTTCCCATTTTTGGACCCAATATAATGCAACACTCAGTTAAATATATACTATCTGATATACCTGGCGATGGAAATGTTGATGTATAAATGTAGGATTGCATTTACTGGAAGACGTTTGACTCAAAACTTCATGTCATGTCCCAGTCTCTCCAGTCTAATGAGGAGGTCAGTTTGATGTCTCTGCATCTAGCATAGATCAGTTCTGTCCTTACAGTCTATACACAAGCTAAAAGCCAGTGGAAATTGTTTTTTGTTTTTTGTAATTTTAACAGCAGTTTGTATGGCTGCTATTGCTTGTCTGGTGTAGGTGCAGTGACTATGCACAAACTCTGAAAGGTTTTGCAATTTCTGAACAGTTTTAACAGTGTACAACTGATTAGTCTACAAATGAAGATGACCGAGACAGCGCAGACAAATGTTCACAATTTTATGTTTATGCATTTTGTCTTTTTCAAAGAGATGCTGGTACTGATTAGTCAAATAACAGATGGTAAAATGTCATACATGATCTCGATACACCATATTTCACAGTATAAGTCACTTTAAAAAGCATGTAGACTACAACATATTTTAATGGGTTGTTGGCTGACATATGGACTTGTGTTTGTACCAGCAGAAATAATTGCTTGACAACCGTAATCTTATCAAAGAATTGTATTAAAAACTGGCGATATTAGAGGTTCTTTACATTGAATAAAGTTTAAATTAAAGGTGTAATCATGAATATGTATAAAATCGTTTTGTAAATTGCTTTAATATCCTTTCACACTACATTACTGGCATGATAGCCTTAATGAAATTATGGAATAGACCTTCTCACCAAGGTCTTCTCACCAAGACCTTCTCACCTAATTCACACAGAAGGTTCTCTGCATATTAAGCATATGCAGAGAACTTTAGGGGACCTAGAATAATTGTTATTCTGTGTATCAATTTCTTTTTCTTTTTTGGTTTGGCTTTTTTTTGCACCAAGGTTTTTTTTTAAAACACAGTGAAAGTAAATTTAAAAATAAAATCACAAACTGTAGGTTTGCAGGTAAATGTATGCTGGCATACTTGACCCATCAATGTTCAGCCTGCAAGCAGGGAGTTTTCGGGTGGTTGCGAATCTCCCTGGAACTTCCTCTTTTGGCTTTAGAGGAAACGTAGGGTGCCCTGGTAACCATGTTTGCTAAGTCTTAGGCAGTCAGTTCTCATTCCCAAGGGCGTCAGGCAGCTGTGATACAACTGCACCTGTGAAGGACCCTGTTGCATTACATTTCAATAAAGAGAGAATTTGGAAGAAAAGATTAAACATGAAAAACTGTGACTGGTCAATCAAGAGTCTAATTTTTTTTTTATGAACTGCCCTGAGATGAGGTGGAACTGGAAAGGAAGAAGATGCATGGTACATTATCTAAACGGCAGCATAAACAGATCAAAATGAAATTCAGAAGGAGTTGCTAAAGACAAACAAACGTGTAATTTGAAGATGTCGGCAATCTAACAAAACAGTATCTGACACCCTGGAATAGAAATGCATCGGTGCTTGTCGTATCATAGCCTCACTAAAGCTGCATCTTTCTCAATCAAATTAAGATTTTCTGGTCTACCAACTAATATCATAGCCATAAGTGCTGAACACAACTTATCATGGCCTATTTTCTAACAAAACCTTTGTATTTATATAGCATGTAAACAAGTGTCATACATACCTACAAATATTAATATGGTGTTATCAGCATCAGTGGTATCCAAGTATTTAAAAACTGTCATTTCCTGTGCCTTTGTCCAAGATCACTTTTCTTTCTAGTGCAGTTTTTACAGTCCCTGAAGTTAGTACAAATGTGAGTGCATACTGCTCATATGGTATATTTGAACTGCAATGTGAACTGGAACTACTATGCAGACATAACAATATGACAACAATACGGTGTCATGCAAGGACTGTCTGAAAATGTTGCTCATACTGGAATCTTCTGTAAATGCTGTATTGATATAATATGTTCTTTGTTTTCTGGAAGAGTGTAGATGAAATGAGATGCTTAGTTAATCCTCTTATTAATTCAATAATTACTTGTTGTAAAGTCATAGCCTGACCATTGTATGTGTGGTAGATAAAGTGTGTGCAATATTATGAAAACTTTGCACACTCCTCCTGTCTTACAACAGTCCCCTGTGTAGTATTACTTCAAAAATATCTCAATAAAATGGATAGAAATAACACTGTGTCTGTGTGTGAATTTCAAAGTATTTGAGATATCACTATTATATGTTTGCAACATAACTGTCTTTATAGGTCAAATCCTATTCTTCATCAAAAGCCAAGGCCATGCATTTAGTGAGAGTCCCCAGGCTCTGCCACCTATGCTACCCCATGCTGACTTTACCCAGCTTAACAAGGTCCACATCAGCTGTTGAGAGAACACATCTTGAGAACATACTGAATGAAAGTGGGCTACTGGAACAAGGTACACATGGACAAGGACTGACAATATGAAATGGATGGAGCGTTACTTGAACTTCCATTTTCCAAACATAATGGAGTGGCTCTACCTGCAGCAAAAAAAAACTTCTTAAATAGCAACTGGGCTGCCAGTTGCTATTTAAGAAGGTTTTTATACCCATCTGCCACATCCTCCTCATAATCTGCCATGGGTGTTCCCACACTCTACCAACAAGACCATTCGCCATTTTATATATTACATTTTATAGTTAAATCTATCTATAACACTTTTTTTTAACATATAAAACAAATAACCCTACAAATCCCAAATAACACCTAGGAAAACCCCAAGCATTTCCCTCACTCAACTACAAGAACCTTCAAACAGTATTCAGACCTGCAGGGACACATTAGCTTGAACACTCTGAGAGGACAGAAAGGAACGAGAAGGAGAAAAGAGGTGAGTGGTTGCTACACTATAAATCATCATCCACAATTCACAATTGCACAAATACAGTCACACTTATGTAAACCACAACAATCAATCACATTTGCAGCTAATATTATTATTTCCTACAGCATCTGTTCCACCATACACCCGAGTACCTGCTCAAGCACCCGGAAGAGAGAATTACAAATCATTACAATTTTCACTAAATGATTGATAAATATTTGAGTTCAAGGAGGTTGGTTGTCCAATATGATGTTTGTTGGTTAATTTGGATGTCATGGTTGAATAGAAATTACAACAAGATTGAGGCTCTAGAAATGGCCAATCACAGGCTCACAACTCTGGTCACTTGGCTGTAGTGATATATGAGAAAAGTGCAAGATAATAAATGCACTGCTCTTCAAAGGTCCACCCAGGTTGTACTCTCTGCTAAAAGGGAACAATGATACAACAGCAGCCCCACCCAGATCTAAAACTGGGCAATACTAGAAAAAACCTCTGTGAAAAAAAATGCAAGGTGGCTGACTTAAGAGCAGACCACAACTTCCCAGAAGAAGAACCAGTCACACGCGTAGGCAGACATACAGTGAGTCTCTAGAATGAAGAGATGGAGAGCACCAGGACCTGATATGATCCATGCCTACTGTCTGAAGAAGCTTATGGATGCCTGGCAGCACAAATAAGGGTGGTGTTAACAGCAGGTGCTGATCCAGACTGGCTATCACAGGGCAAAACAATTCTGATTATCAAAGATCCCAGTGAGGGTACAACACCATCAAACTACTGGCTGAGTCTCCAAAACATGGAAACTCCTCTCAGACATTGTAGCAACCAAGCCAACACCCTGTCATTAAATGAGAATTTGCTAAAAATGTGAGTTGATTTTATTTGACACCAAAAAACATGAAAGAATATTTGCAATCTAATAGGGTTCAAAGTATTTATAACGAGGTTTAAATGGATTTTTCTTGAACATATATCAGAAATAAATTTGTCATTTGAAAATAAAAAAACATAAAATAATGAGGGTTGGACCTGGAGGCCCTGCAGAGGCCCTGGATGAAGGAGGGCAGCCATCAGTTTCAATCATTTGTGCTGACTGGAAAGTGAAGAGAGAAAAAAAGAATTTTGAACATTTCAGGCAGAAACATAAATCCATTTTTACACAACTTATTGAGATTCAGACTCCAATGACACTGATCTCATTCTTTATGGTCCAGGCAACTTACCATAGCACCTTTTCTAAAGCGCAGCCTGCGGTGAAGGGCGATGAAGGAGACTGTTGATATCCATGTTCACACCTCTGCTAGTTATCCAGATGGAGGCCTGGGGTCTGACTGACAGCACAGCAGCACAAAAGCCAGCAAACACCAATCACAGGTTTATAGGGAAGAATGGGTTAAGATTAGCCTGTGGGTAAGCTGAAACAATTTCACCTTAAATTTAGTTATTTTCCTTTTTCATTAAGTTGTGTTGTTGCCTGTCAAACCTTTTTCTGGCATCACACATGTTGTTAATTTCACATCAAAAGCTGTTTATCTCAGTAAAGTTTTATCATGTATTTTGATCAAGTAAAACCAAACTGCACATAGACTCTGTTATATCTTGGTGTACCATATAAAGAAAAAAAAATCATTAGTTGACCTCGTTGTGTTTAGAGATTTTCACTTTAGTCAGTGGGTTTATTTAAATGCAAAAGATGTGCAATTTTAAAAACTGAGCTAAAAGGAAAAGTTGTAAGAAGAGTTAATAAATAAAGTGAAGTAATTATACCATAATGTATAAATAACACGAGTTTAGTGGCAGAACCAGTCAGATCACACACACCTGAGGTTATCACCATTTGGCCAGAGGTGTGCCACTTCCCTTTAATATTTGATCTAAAAAGATTTCAAATGCAGCACCACAACATGCTGTCAATTAGAATAAATAAAATATTCTGCAACAGTAGATTCTATCATGTCAGCCTAAGAAAGCAGTCTGTGTTGATGCCCGATTGTTTCATTCAACTTTTCTGAGGAGGTCTCATCTGTAATGTGTCACCTCAGGGTGGCTGTGCCTCAGGAGAGGACTGTCTACCAGTCAGAAGGTCACCAGATGCTCAGTGGTGCTGTATCTGCATGTACATGCAAGTACACCAAATACTCAGTTGCTGTAATTAGAGTGCGAGTAATAATATGATGTTAGATAAAAGCCAAAGCCATAAGAAAAATCATGTCCCTGTAGGAATATATGTTTAGGTGAATTAGGCTCATAGGAATGTTCAAATAGTATAGGATAGGATCAAAAAAGCATCAGCCATTTACCCTCATGTACCATCATCTTTACAAATCTCTAGACAGAGAAGGAGACAGAGGAGGAGACAGAGAAGGAGACAAACAGACTTCTGGACTTTGGGAATTCATACATATGTAAAAAAAAAAAAGACTCTGTAAAGCATTTTACAGCAACCTATTTTTGCAGCTTTTAGCGTTAACACTAATCACTTTATGTTACCCAGTGGCTTCCTCATCAGCTGCAATGCCAATGATGTAACAATGTAACATTTCCTCACAGATGCCCTGCATATCTAGGCTTTGTAGCAGTAGGTCACAAATAACAGACCTGCTTTCTTGCTGCACTTCAAGAAATTGAAACATGACTTTGCAGATTTCATCTTTGTACAGACTGGTCATGTGATTGTCACTCAGTAGTAATATTTGTCAGATGTTTCTTGTGAGGCTCTTGTCAGTCGTGATGTACCCTTAGTTAGCAACTGGGTTTTATTAAACCTTAAAGCCAGGGGCTTTGTTTGCAATTTGCACAGTCCTACAACTGTTAGCTAATAACTTCACCCTTTCATCGTGCTATGGCTGTGTGTGGATTTTATTGTAGTCTTTCTGACATACTGAGAAAACCACCAGTGTGACTTTTCAAAAATTAATTTGAAATGGGTTTAAAGAATAGGTTTGGACTGAGCAAGATTTTGGAACAACTTTCTAGAAAACATCTCAAGATTTTGTATTCAGCTGGGACACTGTGACATGTGACATGTGACATATCTTCCTGAAAAAGGGATCTGGAGAACAATGGCCAGAAAGCAAAAGCACAAAATATGTAACTGGATGCAGAAGGCTAACTAGCTTTTCTTGAAATCACAAGAACTGTTAGTAAAACACATTTTCACAGCATGAAAACGGGAAACACTGTAGATGAATATGGTCGTAGAAAAGTTTCAGTTATAGCAAATATTTTTAACATAAATTTTGCTTATTTATATAAGCATATATTTGAAATCTGTAACCCCTCCTGTGTTGCATCTTTTTAAAAGGTTGTCCTGTCTCCTCCTTATCGTGGTGGAGGGGTTTGTGTGTCCCAGGGATCCCAGGGGCTATGTTGTCTGGGGGCTTTTGGCCCCTGGTAGGGTCTCCCATGGCAAATTGGTCCTGGGTGAGAGACCAGACAAAGAGTGATTCAGAAGACCCTTATGAAAAGAACATCGAGGGAACAATTTACCCTGCCCGGGATAGGGTTACCGGGGCCCCGCCCTTGAGCCAGGCCCGGCGAGGGTGCCCAAGGGCGAGTGTCTGGTGGCCAGGCATTAGTCCATGGGGCCCGGCCGGGCACAGCCCGAAGAGGAGACATGGGCCCATCCTCCCGCAGGCCCACCACCCGCATTGTGTCCCGGGTGGCGGCCAGGAGCAGAGGCCCTGGTGGACTGACCCCCGGCTGCCAAGACTGGCAATAGGGACATGGAATGTCACCTCTCTGGTGGGGAAGGAGCCTGAGTTAGTGCGTGAGGTTGAGATGTACCGGCTAGATATAGTTGGGCTCACCTCTACGCATGGCTTGGGCTCAGGAACCAGTCTCCTGGAGAGGGGCTGGACTCTGTCTCAGTCTGGAGTTTCCCCTGGTGAGAGGCGGCGGGCTGGGGTGGGTATTCTAATATCCCCTCGGCTTGCTGCCGGTACGTTGGGGTTTATCCCGGTGGACGAGAGGGTTTGTTCCCTGCGCCTTAGGGTCGGGGAACGGGTCCTCATTGTCATCTGCGCTTATGTGCCGAGTGGCAGTTCAGAGTACCCAGCCTTCTTAGAGTCCCTGGGTGGGGTGCTGGAAGGTGCTCCACCTGGAGACTTTGTTTTCCTGCTGGGAGACTTCAATGCTCACGTGGGTAACGACAGCGAGACCTGGAGGGGCGTGATTGGGAGGAACGGCCTCCCTGATCTGAACCTGAGCGGTGCTTTGTTATTGGACTTCTGTGATAATCACAGTTTGGCCATAACGAACACCTTGTTCGAACATAAGAGTGTCCATAAGTGCACGTGGCACCAGGACGCTCTAGGCCG